GTTTGTTGCGGTGCATTGCAGGGGAAGTCGTGGCCTAATATTTTACACACTTGGAGATTTAAAAGATAGTAGATAATAGTATTGATTTGACTGCACTGATGCTATTGGATGAGAACAAAACTGAACTAAATTGAGCCTGATAATGACAACTGTTTTCTGTAGAGATGCTTTAAAGCTAAATCGAATTTGTACAAATACATACAATTTGCAACAATGACACTGTTGTTGAACTGAATTGAGTCAACACTCAACTGACTTGATCTGACACTATTGTCTTTTGTAGAGCTGCTTTATAGCTGAAATTGTATTTATTTCGTAATTTAATGAACTTTGCACTATTATTGAACTAAACTGTGAGATTGCCTTGAAGGGCACATGTGATGCTGGCTTAAAATTTGGCCAAAGTTAGTATCTTAGAAGCAGCATAATCAACCCTATAGGCAACTATTTAAAGAGAGTCGGATTACATCATGGATAGTAATACACACCATTTATAACCAGATTTGCATGTGTATTATGCCTTAGAATGCTGCCTATGTAGAAAAATAAATAATCTTAAACAGTCTAAAGAGGTTAGCTGGTCTGCCAGTCCACCTAAATGACTAGTCTGGTCTGTTTGGTTGGTTTTAGAGATATTTTACACACTTGGAGATTTAAAAGATAGTAGATAATAGTATTGATTTGACTGCACTGATGCTATTGGATGAGAACAAAACTGAACTAAATTGAGCCTGATAATGACAACTGTTTTCTGTAGAGATGCTTTAAAGCTAAATCGAATTTGTACAAATACATACAATTTGCAACAATGACACTGTTGTTGAACTGAATTGAGTCAACACTCAACTGACTTGATCTGACACTATTGTCTTTTGTAGAGCTGCTTTATAGCTGAAATTGTATTTATTTCGTAATTTAATGAACTTTGCACTATTATTGAACTAAACTGAATCAACACTGAACTGAGTAATCATACTATTAACTTCTGTAGAGCTGTGTTTGCTTCATAACTAATGAACTTTGCTACACTCACAGTTATTGAACTGAATCAACAATGAATGAAATTGAGCTGAATAATAACACTATTGTCTTTTTAAATCTGCTTTGCAGCTGAAACTGTATTCATTTCATAATAACTGACAAACTTTGCAACATTAAAGGGTTAGTTCCCCCAAAAATGAAAATTCTGGCATTA